CTCATCTTTCTCCCACGGAACAGCTGGTAGTTTTGAACTGCTGACCTTGCAATTCTCAGCCCGATTCGTAACCACTACACTACCAGAGCTCCATATATATATATGACGTGACAAATACACCACACGAGTGTATTTCTTGGTACTGTGACTCTCCCCCCTACTTTATATATTTCCGTCACAGAGAGAATGTGACTGCAGTGATTCACGAGGTGGCCTTGTTGCCAGGGAAAACTCATGGAATAGGATTCCTAACATGTAAGGCCCATACCACACATTTAGGCTGACTTTGGTACACTCCCCAACTCCCATAAGCACCAAGGAATCTTTAGATAAGTGATTCCTCAGAACCAACCCTGCTCTCTCCTGACACATCCTGATCTGGAATTAACCCTTTCATGACCCAGTTATTTTCTGCTTTGATTTCTTTTGTGGGTACCATGTGTTTTCAGAATGAAGGCATGCTGCAATTAAGGATAAAAACTTTTTGAGTTACTATGGATTTTAATACAATTCTCTGGGACACATATGCCCTAGGTGGAGTGGACTCTGGTAGGAGGATTAGTGGGGGAGACCTGTTTCTTCGGATTCACACACAGTTATACAGGTCCTTGGCGATCAGCAACACCTACTCCAACTAGGACAGGAGCTTCCCAAGCAACCTGAGACTGAAAACGCAGGTGGTAATAACATGTCCCACAGCTCACAAAAGGGTTAGGACCACTATACTTACCTCTGGAACAAATCGACATTCATTACACCATCAAGATGACGGCTATATTGTTTTGTGTATGTTATTGTTAAGTGCTGTTGAGTCAGTTGTGATTCAGAGTGACCCTGTATAGGGTTTCCAAGGAGTGGCTGGAGAGTTGGAAGCACCAACCTTGCAATTCAAACTGACCTTGCTGTCCAATGCTCTATTCTATAGTGCCATATATAAATGTAAATATATATTAAAAATTTCCAATTTTCAAACTAGAGATCCTGTTAATTACAGATTATTGTTCTTCTAACAACCTCGAGAGAACTCTCGAATGATGATGTTCTCAGAAATCCTCTTATAGCTTCTAGCATTCAGCAGTGAGCATATCCTATAGTCAGTAATTGACCACACTTATATACATGACTTTCCTAGCAGGGCATAGGGTTTGTGACAATTATCAGACACTATTGTTACTGTGTGTCATCAAGTCAATTCCAACTCATAACAACCTGTAGCATACTGTGTTTTCCAAAGAGAACCAAGTTCAATTACATTCTTTTTGGTCCTTCTGAATTATTTATTTCAGATGGGAATCTCACCCCTTACTGCCTTCTGACCTGACGTTCTGAGCCAGGCCATATTTCCTGCTCTTCCTGAGAGCCACTGGAAGTTCAGGTTTTGAGTGGCAGTCGCACACACTTAAAAAGTTGGTGGCAGAACTGAAGGTTCTCTCCACCCATTTTCAATTCTTCCTTCTATTTCCTTCACTCATACAATGTCCATCTGGGGCACATGTATCTTCCAAAAGACCCAGTTAATATATAAACCTGTTGCCATCCAGCTCATTGGCTTAAAAACAACCATGGACAGACTGGGAGAGCGATGGCTCCATACAATAAGCACTGGATTGTGAACCACAGGGTCCACAGTTCGAGGCCACCAGCAACTCATGGGCGAAAGATAATGAGGCATTCTGCTCCCTCAAAGATTTAAAGTCTCCAAAACCCTATAGAGGGGGAGAACAAACAAGATGGCAGATCGGGTGGACGTATAGCAGAG